TATTCCTCTCTCCCAACTCATATGACTCTTTTACTAATAGTGAAGAAACCCTTCATTTAAAGTAACCGTAGCAATATATTATATTTGACATTGAGATTTTGAGAACTCTCTTTAGCAGTCCAATTATTACATTAAAAGAACACAATTGTTACCAATCTTTAAGTAATTCTTATAAATACTTATTGTACTTTAATTTATATTTAGTCTAAAGCCATAAAATATTATTAAGATTGTGAATTGTCATTAAGATATTTGAGTTTTCTCTTTGAATATTATAAATATCCTTGAGTATTTCAAAGTTCCATTAAAATGATAACAGTATTTAATAATAATATTATTATTTTAAATAATATTAATATTAAACTTTAAAATAATATAAACTTATAATTTTCACAATATCTTTAAATATTTATCTTTAATAATATTAGTTACAAAATATTAATTTATAAAAATATAAATACTTAATATATATAACTTAAATTTTTCAAAAAAAGCAGATAATATTTTTCAAATATTCAATTTCAATCAAATTAATATATTATATCTTATTAAGATAAAACTTAAATATCAAATAGCAAAATTTTTATTTTCAAAATCAGTTCAATATTATTATATTTTTATTATTAATTATTAATATTATTCATATAACTTTAGAGTTAATTTAAATATATTCAAAAAATTTATTATATCAATGGCAAACTTATTAATTTAATATTAATTTTCTCTAAAAATATTATATTTTATTCTTATTAAATTATTATATTATACTTAATGATTTTAATAAATACTTTATTAATGCTTCAAAAAATAAAATTATTAATTTTTTTATCTTTAAAAAATTCTATAAAATAATTTATATAATATATTCACAAAAAAATAATTCTACTTAAAAATATTAAAATATAAATCACAAATTAGATATAATTTGATACTCTTTCAAAATAATTTCTTTACTAATTCACATAGTAATATCAGATTCTTAATAAATAATTATTAATTATATAATAATTTTCTATAATCTTTCATTAATTTCAATTATATATATTCTAATACTAAGTACAAAAATCACAAATTTAGCCAATAGATATATAATTAATTTAATATAGTTATAAATAAAATATATCTTATTAAAATTAATAAATAAATACTTAAAAAATAACTAGATTATATATCTTAATTATTAAAATAATTCATACTTATAAACAAGTAATTTAAGCTTATTATTCAAATAATATCTTTAATTAAATTTATTATTTATAATGCAATTTATTTAATAAAATTATATCTTTTTCAGTTAGAAAAATAATATTTTCTTTTTTATACTATTAATACTAATTAGAATTCTCAATCTTCAATTTTTTTATTATTATTAAATTTCAAATAACTAAAAGTCAAACTCAGAACAGAAAAAATAATAATAGTTAAATAATACAAAACTTTTCAAATTAATTTAGAAATATAAAACAATATTAAAAAATTTGATAATTAATATATTTTGATGCTTTCAAATATTCTTGAAAAATAATATAGAAAAATTATGATTGACAAATTACATACTTTTAATAATTTTTTAGATTATCCAGAAATAATTAAAGATATAATAAAATAATACTTCTCCAACTGGATATATAAGTGCTCTATTATATTTTCACTGAATCAAGAATAATAATCTAAATAATATTTATTTACATATATTTCTTATAATTCTTTTTTAACTGTTTCAAATCTAATTACAATTAAAAAATTTAACTATATATTTATCAATATTAATTTATTTAAAGCTTCTAATTTATCAGAAATATAGTATATTCTAATCAAAAACATTATCAAATCTTTATATGCTTCTTCTCTCATTATATAACTTATATTTATCCAATAGAAAGATAATTTTAATATAACTTTAATTAAAATTACTTATAAAGATCTGTTTTTAATCTTAATAAATAAAATTTCAAATATTTATAAATATTTTAATATATTATAAGAAAATAATTTAATTTACATTATTAATAGTATTTTTGAAAATATTTATAAAAATATAATGAACTTTAATATACTTTTTAAAATATGTATTGAGCATATAATTTTATAAGCTAATAAATATTAAAAATAATACTAATTTATATTATATTATATAAAAATATATATAATATATATAATATATATCAAAATCAAATTCTTACTGAATATAATTTAATTAATATCTTTATAAAAATTGGCACAGGTGATCTTTAGAATCTTAAGACATTATTGACAAAATACGTGTCTAGCTTAAGTAATATTCAGTGATTCCTATTCCAAAACTTATAATATCTACCGCATGTAATAATTGCTAGAACGTCGTATAACGACCCATTATGTTGACCACCAAGATAATCGCAAATTTCAAAGGCTAAATTTTTGCAGTAGTTCTCAAGTTTTTTGATCAGATTTAGTGGTTCATGTCCGCCCGCAATTTTTGAAAGGATATTCTTTAGACCGCTAAATCAATTATTACAAATTTGCAGCCTCTTTTTTAAAAAAATATTGACTTTCTCATAGTACCCGCAATGTTCATCTAGCTCGAACATTTATGTTAACGTGAACAATGGTGTGTGCACAAATCATAAAAATTCTTGATACATGTAGTTGATCCATTAGTGTTTAACATTTTAAATATCAGCAGGGAAACGTAACAATACAGTATATTCAAACTTTTCTACTCTATGTAGATCTTGTAACTATGACTTATAAAATCTGGTTTAAATACGGTAAGAGCGAATCAGTCAGGTTATTTTCGACGGAGAAGACGTAGATTTGAAAAGGGCGATCAAGAAGGAAGTAAACAAGTTAAAAGATGTGAACGCGGGAAAAATTGCACTCAGAAGACACAACGAGGATGTAGACCTGGAAAAACCAGTGCTTCGTAAATACGGCCAAAACACTGCCATAGGTGCTCGTCCGTGGTAAGTAACGAATTTACAACATGGCGTTGGGGTACAGAGTAACAAATGTAAATGGATGATACTATTAAAGAACGCTGAAAGAATTATATGAAAAAGAGATTATGATTCAAGAAGTCTATAAAGAAAACAGATAGAAATTTTAAAAGAATAGGATGAAGGACAAACTGGCGAAATAGGAGTGAAGTAAATAAAGCAAAAAGGGAAGAAAGAAAATAGCATAGCAAAATGTGCCAAACTATTTTCTATCGTTTCCATCCCATTTTACTCGTTTTATGATAATTTTTTTCTTGTAAGTATCTAGATACTAAATGAACTCGAATTCATTGCAGGTCAAAGGGTCTTTGCAGAACGTCAAGCAAATCCGGTCACATTAGATGACTTAAAAAGTGTGCTTCTCTATTGAATATGAAATATGTTTTAAGCATATGTGCTAAGTATGATTGTTTATATGTTTGAAGAAAGCATTACTTACGCCATAGGCAAGAGTGAGTAGAGTTTTAGTTGTTCTGCTATTGCAATTATGCTCAATCGTCACTACCATAACAGTGATTAAGAGCATGCCCTCTAGGATGTTTATCTCTTCGAACCATCCACACCGTACCCAACGTTACAATCGAAAATATAAGCACCGCATTCGTCAATGTTCCTCACTTGAATACCTCTATCAACGAGAATGGTCCGTAAATTTGGTTTTCACAGAGAACCTTCAACAGTTGGCTTCAAAGACAACTGCGACAATATCAAATTCACAAAATGGCTTGAATCCTGGCTTAAAACTCTTTGCTCTTCTGTAACAAACAAAGTGCTTGTGAAAGAGACCATGAAGAAAGGTTATATGAATGGATTATGCCCATATCTCTCTATTCTTCCACAATATATAGCTTCGTTGTCTCATCATTGAAATAAAACTTAAAGATCTCTACAGTCCTGATTCAATAATGCAACTTAGAGACCACATGTGCATCACGTTTGATGCACAAAGACAACACCGAAACCTTGTTTGTGCACTAATGTCACTTACAGACCTCATTCTTGTCTATATGTCATCTGGAACTAACACACATCCACGCTTGTGCGTTTTGATAAGCTTATATCTTCTGACTGGTCTCCTGCAAAAGAAGTGCCTCCTCCCATCGTCGCGCTTCGACAGATGTTTGAATGTACCAGCTCCATCCCTTCTGAAATACTTAAACTAAGTCATATTTGCCAGGAGTTGGAGCATATAGAGGATAGTGCTACAAGAGATAGAAGTACTTCAATACTGATGTCGTGGGGAAAGTTATTAAGAGGAGATTGATATTCTAATACGATTGAAGAGCCTAAAAATCCCAACTACAAAAACACGACAATCGGTTACATTAACGCCATGTGCAGTATCTCTTGTCTGAATACACCAGAACGGTTCGACAAACGGCATTGGATACAATGCATCTGTCTTACCTAAATGCTTGCACTGTGTATAAAAGGCTAACTTCTCATTCTCTAAAGGGGCGAAGTTCATATTAAGGTACAATGCGATTTGCAAGTGATTCCATCCTTGAGTAACTACAAATAGCGTCAGTGCTTTGGTTGTTGATTTCCATCCTTCACTCACTGTTGCGAGTGGCACGAAAGTGTGATATGGATCCCAATCACCGACGTCATGTGTTCACTTATAGATAATATACGAGAATTCTGAGAGATTTAGACAAAGAACTATATATCCTTCACCACCGCAAATCCATTTGACTTCAATTGGTACTCTAATTAGATTGTGCTTAAACTAGAATCATCGTTTGTTTTTGGCCATAACTCATAATATACACTATACATTTGCAGGCGCTTACTCTGCAAAAAAATAGAATAAAAAACACTATAATTGCCTTTTTGGAACAAATTACTGAGGTTTTTGCATTTGATATTGCATAGATTTGATCAAGTGATGTTGTTGCTCTGATTAAGGAATTGTGTAAGCATTTACTCCATTATCAAAATGTTTTAGACACGATAAAGCATTCACTCGCTTTGTAAATTTATTGATTAGGCATGCAATGTATGGATTAATATAAGAAATATAGAGCATCATTAAAATATGTAACAATTCATTGTCAATATTAAACTCGTTATAGTACTTGTATCAAATTAGGCGTCTTTATTTTATTGACAACTTTTATACTATTAATACGATTGCAAGAAAAACTTGTTTTCTGCTCGATAAATCACTTGTGTTTAATTATATCGATATTATATTATTACGCAATATTATAATGAAATAAACTTCGATTCGCAGTAGAACGTGTTTTTTTATTGGATTTAATTTGAGCAATCTTTATAGATTTTCGCAAAATGGCAAATTTAAATATTTTGTATAAATAACAACAGCAACAACAATAACAATACTAGTAGTACTTAAAATTGTGTTCTAACAAAAAAATAAATCTAAAATTTACATTGAAATTTCTTAATCAATTAGCGTTAGGTTGTTATAATGCAAAATTTTATTTTATACACTTAAACAAGCTAAAACTAATACAATCGGATTTCTTTTCCCCCCCCCCCCCCCCACAACCGAGAAATAATTAATTTGATTTAATTATTCAATTTTGAAAAACTTGATCAAACCTGAAATTTCAATTGCGCATTTAATTACCAATTACGCAATCTTTGTATATACATAAGTATATTGATATGCAGAGCTGACATTGTAATACACATTGTGAATAAAACTTGTAAAAATTACACAAAAAAAAACTTTACCCCATTCTCAAAGATTATATGCTATTGAAAAATATCAGCTGCTTGATGCTTATACGAATAGAAAAGCATGTTGATAACGCGTTTATTCTTCACTCGCAATTCATGCTTCTTGATATAAGGAAAGAGGATAATGAATACCTTTTCTCATTACACTGCATTGTAAAAATTGTACTGTTCACATATTTCGTGAAATCTCAAATCGCACAAATATTCACGATAAGGATATTTCCTCACCATTACCACATGCTACATGTAATTTGCAAATCACGCCATTACAAAAAACGTGAATTTTGAAAAACGCCTGTCAAAGCGTTTCTAATTTGTGCGAACATATTAATTCGAAAAAATAAAGTTGTTTAATTAATTACATGCTTGAATTAGATATCACAACTATGTATAATATTCCACGGTGATGTTATGCATTTTCTGCCAGAATCACAAGTCACCACGTATATTTATAAAGTTTATAAGATGCCGGTTTTTCTTTAATTAATCTCATTAATGTTTTAATTTTGAGTTTGACAAGTTTATAATTAGAAAGCATTTACAAAAATATTTGTACGAAATACATGTATAATATATGCAGTTTATTTGAATATTGAAAGACAAAGAAATCCGTATGCGTATTATTTTAAAACCACGATTTATATTAATGAATAATTAAACTAAGGTAAATGAAATTTCTATCGAAAAATAAAATATCTAAAAATAAATAATAACTCTCACGTATGAATTTAATTTACTTACTATGTATGCTAATTCATTCAAACAACATGTTCTTCGGAAAATCAATAAAATTCACATGAAAAAGAAAAGGTATAGTTTTCAACAGCGCGCGTAACATTAAAACATCAGCCAATAAGTCACATTCTCAAAAAAACCAATCCCGTCATAAGCACAAAAAATACGGCGTTACATAATCGACTAACGCCACACGTTACCAATTATTTAATCATATACTTGATTTGCTCTTTTTCAATCAAAATTGGTCACAATGTATACCTAACACAAAATTTCAGCTTTAACCGCTACTGCGGAAAATAGATTCATTTGTATTCAATATTTAGTCAGATAAATACATGTAGTAGTTTTTCTTGTTGAAAATCATTGTTGATTTGAAAAAAATTTAATTGGATTTAATCTCTGCAATGTTTTCCCGCAAAAAATGATAATGTACTCTTATTTACCGTTACCCAATAATTGATTATATGACATATCTTGCATGCTCATGGGATATGCTGCGACAATGAATGTAACCCACGTTATCTGTCAGATGGTGATACCAAACTTAGATTTTCACCATAGGCGCTACAAATTTCTCTTGGATAACTTTTAACAAAGATAAAGGTTAACGATGAAATTGAAGCTACAAATAACTTCTTGCTCATGAACTTCGCATCTTATTTGGTGCTGCTGCTGCAATTTCTCAAATGAAAAACTTACGGACCTAATTGTGCAATAATTCTATAAGCACTCAATCTTTCAAGCGCCATTTTAGAATTAGTCAATTTTCTTCTGCAAAACATATATTTAAAAAATAGGCATATGTTGCTTTTAGTGTCATATCCACTAATTACTCTTGTCCGAATCTAGTGAAAGACAAGAAAATGAATTCATGCTGATCACATGGTTTCATATTTCGAAGAATAATTACGTTTTCATGAGCAAAAATGAGACCTTTTTGTTTGCCATTACCAATAGATATTTAACGGAAGCACTCTGGTAAGGCAAATAAATAAACTTCATTTTTCCTGAACTCAAAAATGAGACTAAAATTGGTAAGATGTAGCAGAGACGAATCATCTTCTTTCGGCGAAGAAATATGGCAAAGTGAATTTGGAGCTATGGGGCTCGAGGTATTGTATCTGATAAATGCTATTTACAAAGAGAATTGTGAACAGTGATTGGCTTAAACCAGATCTACCTTGCATGAAATTTCTGCATTCAGTCATTCGTAGACTTTACTGTTGCGGGTTATGACAACATGACATGATCAAGTGAATTGTGACACTTGGAATACATGTATACAATTATTTTTTCTTTACCGTTACCGTTACCGTTACAACTCTTACAAAATCGGGGCTTATAAAATATGTTGCGGCAGCAATGTTTCTATATTCATTCTCAGGCAATATGAAATCATCAATTTTTTATTGGGTGATATGATTTGCGCAGAAAAAGTACACAAATAAACCCGAATATTCATTTGTACTGTCTGTGTTGCTGGCTTTGAATACTTTGAGATTTGCTCCATAACGATAAGAAACGACGCTTTAAATTTACAGGATCCCATGAAATCTACTTGTGCGCACGATATCGATATACCGCTACGCTGACTTTAAATCGGATACCCGATCCTCCATTGATGTACACGCAGAAAATTTTATGCTGTGTATCACAGTTAAATTCGCCCAATTGCATAATCTAAAAAAACGCAAAAATCACTTAACAAAAACATACATATGAAAGAGAGACAAAACCAATCGCGATAATAATTTGCGTTCGCTTAGAATATTTTAGGCTTAGTCTCTAATACACGGATTTGCCATTGTAAGTGCCCACAACTCCGGATTATCCATTTCTTATGCGCATTTATTGTTGATTTATATATATATAGACTGTTTTACGTACTAATTTTTCTCTTTATTTATTTTTATTATTTTAATTTTTAATTATAATTATAAATATTAATATTAGTAAAAATTAGTGAAATAAATAGAAAATACATAAGAATGTCAAATATTGAAAATATTATCATAAATTCTAGACAAGGACAAAGTTATTTATCATCATCTCCATCATCCACATCGTCGTCGCCGACGAAGTCAGCATTTATTGTGGAGCAACAACAGAAAAAAGCACAATTACCAATATTGAAAATTTCCACCAGAAGAGCAAAACACACAAGAAATCGATCACAAACACATTTAAGAAAACCAGCATCATTTGACAGTTATCTTTCTTATGAGCGTGCAAATTCAATTTCATCGATCTCTTCATGCGAGAGTTTAACATCAACTAATTCAAATAATACTCCGGTTGATTATTATTACAATCATTTCTCTTCCTCCTCGTCGTCAAGTATTATCACTTCTCCACTAAGTCCGAGATTCATTTCAAATACAATAGTCGACATTTGTCATCGATTTTCATCCGCAATTGGATTAACCTATTTTCTCGATTCACTCAAACATGGTGGCAGTGGAGTAAACTACAATAATAATAAAATGAATGCAAATATATCATTGACGGAGGATTACGACAAGATGGACGATATTAACACGTCCTTATCGTTTTCACGTGACTTAGATTATTATTCCACTACGGAACAACATGAGGACGAGGAAGAATTTCTTTTTGTAAATACACGGCCAGGATTGAGAAATCAAGGAGGCAGCAACAGCTCGATCTCTCTTTTAACATAATAAATTCCCATATATATAATTTTACTATTATACTCTATATAGACAACATACTGAACCAATAATATCCTGGAGATTAATGGTTTACCGCGTTACCCGTTTCATTTTATGACGTTTATGTATAATAAAAACTAATAAAAGTGAATTTTATAACTTGAGGTCAAAACTCTATGTGACTGATATCATTTTCAATACGTACACAACATTTCTAAATTATATTCCGATCTACGTATGCTACTTTTAAGTGCACGGTAATTACATGTACAATAAACGTGATAGCGATAAAAAAACACGCATGAAAAAATCCTGTCGCAAAAATGTCGAATGGCCATGCGATTTTGTTTCTATCATTTAAAAATAATGACGTTCCATTATGCAATTTGCATTTCCTCATTTTTTTTTATGCAATTAACAATCCGAGTTATCCTTTTATGTCGTTATGGTTATTGTCATGTATATAATATTTTTCCCTGCTTTATGCAACTAATTACAAAACAATAACTATTCAAACAATAAGAATGTAAGATCAAATATTATTCTCGTCACATTTAAGGTCGCCATTTAACATAAACTTGCCTAAAAGATGCTATACTTGATGCATGCGTAGATTGTCAATACATACTCTAATAAATGTTCCATACAGTGTATTTTTCGGTGTGGTCTAGACCCTGTCACTGTTCTGTAGTTGATACTGTAAAGCTATTAAGAGCTGTGATTTTTGGAGATTATGTCACTATTTATTAAGTGTTCGAATTTATCATGTTAGGGATATACGTATGCATGGGTTGTCGTTAACAACGAGTATCTCTAGTGCTTTCCAGAAAAGAAATAACCTATTTTTTCTCGACCATTATCATCCAACAACCTTCATTGCTACTAAGATATGATCGATAGAGTCTGAGCATCAGAATAGATTCTAATAAAAGTGGTGGCGGCCTTCTTTCACTCTTTTTGGAATTTAGTCAATAATTAATCTATTATTTCATCGCACGGACAAACTAAGCGTTCTCAAATCAAGATTTATCGTGTCTTCTAAAAGAGACTCGATAAAAATATATATAGATATAATTTCATTTTTTTTTAATCCATAACAGGTCCAAGTAAAATCTATCGCTATCGAAATGTTTTCTATCTTTATTTAGTTTAATTGCTAACTTAATATGGTTCGTTTTAATAGCATTTTAATAGCTGGGAATTTTTATTACTTATACATGCATTATCATTGTCGCATAGACAAAACCATCTTCCAACAAATTTATTAAAGCATATATACATGTATATATATTATAATCAGTCATTTATTGAAATTACAAGAACCAATAAATGCATCTTTTTAGATTTTAATTAACTGCACAAAAGACAAGAACAACTTTTGATCCGGTTCTTTACGGTTCTGTTGCCGATTTGTCCACATGCGTTTAGCATCTGTGCGAGTACAGGTATTTTACATTTATTAATGTTATAGAAATGATGATTTACGGAAACAGGATGTATGTAACAAAAAGCCTTAACGCGAGAAAATGCTATTCTTTATCATTTAGAAAATAATACGTACAATGTGTTACCTCCATTCAATGTTCTTGGATAAAATTTTCCCGCTTGCATGTACAGTCTAGTCACCCCCGCTATCGTCACATCACATAAACCCCCACACTCTTTTCAAAAATAGCTATACTAAACATTTAAAAAAAATTACTATTGGCCCGACAGTGTGATTATAGGAGTTGATACATTATCACAGCATTTGAGTAGATATACAGAATGTTAGATAACAATGCATAAAACTAGCAGAATTGCACTATATAAAATAAAGTTTAGCGTGAATGGTAATGAAGCAATAATTCTACGTAATTATTTTTTTCAATGTCTACAATAAGTTAACGTGATAAATCATAACTCATTAGCATTCCCATCTGCTTAAAAAATCCGGGACCGTTATTTATATATTAAAGAAATTAAAGGTCTCGAGAGCATAACCACGATACGCAAAAAACACTCTTTGGATCTAAACTTTTTTCGAAATAATGTTGCGTAAAATAGAGTTAATTTTTCTCGAGAATTTCCATTCTAATAATCGTTATACATGTAAATGAGTATTCAAATTTGTAGCCATAAAAAGAACTCGCCTATTAAATCACGACAAATATTACACAAACCCGTACGTATTTTCTTATCTTCCGTTACGCCAAGAGAATACAACAATTTATGCATCTAACGATAAATGAGAAGGGGAATGTGATAAACGGATCCAAGTTATGTAACGATTTTTGAACCAGAAAAAAATGCTTTAACGTTAATTGGGAGATAGAATAAAATTTGTGTGATTATCGTTATGTTTTTTTATTTGTTTTTGTTGGGGATGATGGTCATGTGTTTTTAATTTAATTTAATTTATCGGGAAGTCTACGGACAGTGCATAGGGACAGTGCAAAATCATGTGATCTTTCCGGCCAAGTGCCGGACAGTGCT